CTTGCAAGCACTGGCCACTGGCATCGATAAATCCAAGCCTTCCGGTGGAATTGCAATCCTGTACCCCAAACCCTAAACCCTAAACCCTAAACCCTAAACCCTAAACCCTAAACCCCAAACCCCAGACCCTAGACCCTAGACCCTAGACCCTAAACCCTAAACTCTTGAAACCTTGCTCGAACCCGCGCGCTTTCCAGGTACCGCAAGTCTGTAGGTTGACAGATGTGAGGATCAAGGATGTTGAAGGGAAGGGGACAAGGGTTTAGGGTTTTGGGTTTTGGGTTTGGGGTTTAGGGTTTAGGGTTTAGGTCGTCCTTGCCAAGAAGGGGGGGTGGACAAACAAGAGGGTTTTCTGGAGAATGACATGAGAATTTAAGTCTGAGCCCCCGACCTTGTTCTTCAGGGCATTGGCCTTCTTCATGCTGGTGGGGGGCTCGAGCTTGGCCCTGAGGACGGACTGGACCTCGGAGCTGTTGATGATCCGGGAGAGGTCGGCGTTCTGCATGGAGGCGCGGGGCAGGTGGTAGCCCTTCTTCATGGGCGCGCCACCCTTCGCCGTGCCGTAGATCTCGGAAAGGCGCTTGAAGGCCGACTCCGTCCAGATGATGAAGCGGCCGAAGGACCCTCCGGGGGCCAACCTCAACAGGTTCAGGCGATCCACATGGGCGGTCTCCACCCCCGGGATGTTCCTCATGGCCTTGGTGATGCCGTTGTCCTCGTTGTAGATCACCAGAGGACCCAAGCGGCGGACGTAGCGGCGGTTGCGTGCCTTGCCCTTGCCGGCACGGATCTTCTTGGAGTCCATGATCTTCTGCAGCTCATCTCCGCAGCCCAACTTCTGGAGGGCCTGGACGGCCGCCTTGGTCTTGGTCAGGGACTCCAGGCCATCGGACACGACCAAGGGCAGCTCTGCCACCTTGCTGATGCGGTGTCCGCGGGCCGTGACCAGCGGCGGCAGGCTGCTGGCGGCCAAGGCCACGGCCACGGCGTGGCGCTTCTTGGTGACGTTCACGCGGCGGTGCCAGCGGCGCCAGATGCGGGTTGGGTTGAACATGCCACCTCCGCGTGCCTGGTTGCCGAAGGCGGCCTGGCCGGCACGGTGGGTTCCGCCACCAGGGGCACGGGGGATACGTGCCACAGCACGGCCTGTGCACCAGGACTCCGCGGCGGTGTCGTAGCCGGCCTTGGCGCTGACTGCATAGGCCTGGCGCTTGTTCTTGGCCATGTTCATGTGCACATCGCGGACGAGGTCTGGGCGGAGAGGTGAAGTCAGGACATGGGGCATCTTCACTGTTCCGGTCTTCTCGGTGGGGTTCTCGAAGTTGAAGACAGAGACCAAAGGGCGTGCGGTTGCCATGGCTGCGCGAGTGTCCAGCGACTGTCGGGGAGAACTTCTAGGCGGAGGCTTCAGCCAATAACCTTCGCGCATGCAAGCAGTCGGATCCTCGCAAATACTCTGCATTGCGCAAAGTGCAACGCTATTTGGACATGGAGTGAGTAGAATCTGAATAGAGTCTGATGCTTATGCATCTGCCTGCTCCAAAGCTATCCTGCGCTACTTGCCTTTGCAACTGACCGCAATGAGCGTATGTGAGGCTTTGCATAACATGGTGAACTCCGCCGCAACAAGCCCTAAGGGTCCAAGTACCTAGCAACCATATACTCTCCCAGATATTAACCTAAATAAGTACTATCCGCAACCAAACCCTATTATTGGGTCCTTTGGACCCTTAGGGAAGTGGACTGTTTGCAGCCGGCCTGGCGAGCTTCTTTTCGCAGGGTCGCTTCGAAATCGTACGCCATCTCCCGCACTTGTCCGCTCCTTTTCCCTTTTAGCCAATGCCAACGTGCACATGGAACAGAACGCTGACGCTGAAAACTTAAATGATGTTTGCTCACCAAGAATCCCCAAACTATCTGGCGGATGAAGCGAATTCGACAAGCAGCTCCTAACTGGCTACATGAAGTCTGGCATGATAACCCTACTGCAGAGCCCTAGACCCTAAACCCTAAACCCTACTGCAGACATCATTGAGCCAGACGTCACGGAAAGGCTGCATGCCGCGAAAAATGCGAGCAAACTCCCAAGTCAATACCCTTGCATTCCTCACCTTCACCCCAAGGCACTCACAACGAAATTCCCTCCAACAGAACCTTTGGGGTTTCCAGCCTTCCCCTCTTAATGCAGGATCATGGGACGTAGATGGACATAGTAGCTAGAGCTACACATGAGGTCACTATGTATGAGTAGCTATAGCCCCAATTGAGGTTTTTATGATCTTACTAAGTCTCATGATCCTCTAAGTAGATTCAACCTCGCTGCGCTTCCGTCTCCCCCCAAGCTGCCTTCTTACCCTAAGCCTTGACCCATATAGAAAATACTCTGGTCTTGTATCATATCATGGTTACAACTTCCTATAGTATGCTACAATATAGGACAGTATACCCAATAGTGTATTATAGTATGGTCTAGTATGGGGTTATTCTATGTTGCGGTATATGATTACAGAATTTTATAGTACGTTCCGGTATACTGTATAATCATATACATTGTCGAAGCCTTTCTTTCCAAAGCCCCTGGCAGTTTCGTCTCCGTAGTTCGGAGTGTAGTGGGCGGCCACCTGGCGCAGACTCGGGTGTTGGGGCTTGCCCGGCAGTGTTGGGTCCCGTTGGACTTCAGTCCTTAGACTCTACTAGAGGATCATGGGACTTAGTAAGTACGGTTATAAGTCCTCTAATTGGGGTTATAAGCATAGTTACCTTACTTACAACCCTACTTACTAAGTCCCGTGATCCTTTAAGTAAGGCTCTAGGGGCTGTAGGGCTTCTCCACTTTAGGATGTTCGGGGGCTTTAGCCTTGAGGGATTTAGGCTTTAAGGTTCAAGGCTTTGGGGCGGCTAGGGGGTGCGATGCTTCGGGCTTTCGGCTGCAAGGCACATGGCTTTCAGTCGGAGGGATGGCAGGAATGCTTGAAACACTACCATGTCTAGAAGGCTCTTGATAATGAGACTAGGATTTGGGGAGATCGTACAATATCAGAACGGTTCCCTGTGGGGTCCCATTTTTTCCACGCACAGAGTCTGTCTATGTTTTGCGGTATTCCAAACCCGAAACCCTGAAGCCAAAGCAGGAACTCAGAACTGGAAAAGCAAAATGCCAAAGTCCAAAGTAAACTCCAATTCGGCTGCCCTGCCCGGAAGATTCTGGGAGTTGGTATGCAAGGTTGTAAGTCTCTAAAGTACAATAGGGTGATCAGAAACCATAGACACCTTATTTACAACTCACTAAATCCCTTGATGTTTGAAGCAGACCCCCAAACTCCACCACCCTGCAGATCCGACATTCCGCTTACAAAGCCGTGCACACCTAAGCCCTGCCGAGGGAAAAAACAACCCCCCCAAACCCGAGAATATAGGGGCCGCAATGACTAGAACTGGGGATTTGCAGCATGTCCTACTATAACTTTTTCGGGACTCTCCGGAGATTTATCCCCACCCCTAACCCTAAACTCTGAGTGAAAATTAAACATGCCGCACTGGCCCAGTTGAGGGAGCAACCTGGGTTTGCAGGCAAAAGACACAGGCACCAGGAGGTGAGGGCATACAAGTCGGGCTCCATGGGTTTGGGGTGTAGGGTTTATAGGGTTTAGGGGTTGCGGGGTTTAGGGTTTAGGGCTAGGGCTTTAGGGTTAAGGGTCTACTAAAGCCCCAGAGTTTAGAGCTTTAGGGTTCAGCGTTTGGGGTTTTAGGTTTTTGGTTGGGTGTTGGCTTAGCGTTCAGGCCGTAAGTAGCAGCTCCAGGATTTCACGGACTTCTTCCGGTGTTTTAGGGTTTAGGGTTTAGGGTTTAGGGGTTTTGGATTTAAGGCTTATAGGGCTTAGGACTCAGGGCTTGGGGCAAGAGTCTCCAGGGCTTAAGTTTCTGGCAGTTGGTGTAAAAACAAGCAGCTTTTGGGTTTGGGGTTTAGGATTCCAGGCTGAGGGTTTGGGTTTCGGAACAGCTTTGGAGCTTAGGATTTAAGGTTGCAGATTAAGGACCTACTTTTGATTTAAGGTTTAGGTTTCGGTGGTTTTAAGGTCTACCTTAAGCTACCGTAACATGACTATCCTGTCCTTTTCTTGTGTCCTCGTACAGGCCCTGAACATGAAGTTATAGGCACCCCGCCAAACAAGTATGTTCTGCCTGCTGGCTGGTCAACGTGGGTTTAGGAACCCTAAACCCTGAGCCCTAAACCCCCAACCCCGAAGCCCCGAAGCCACACCAATCCCAAAGCAAGCCTCCTTTCATCCCTGACGCCCAAACCCATGATCCCCGAGCTCCATCCAGCCCAGACGAAGTGAAACCCAAGAACCCCAAACACAAAACATCAAGGCCTAAATCCGAAACCCCACTGCAAAAATCCTGAACCCCTAACCCGAGAGACCCAGAGCTCTGAACCCCAAACCCTAAACCCTAAACCCTAAACCCTAAACCGGACCTAAAACCCCCAAGAGCAGGTTTCCAGACGTTTGGGTCCACGCAAGAACCCTGAGAACCCATAGCTGAGGCCGGGTCCCGTGGGAAAGCCCCATCCTGCTTCCAGGCCGTTCGCCTGGGAGGGGGAGACCCAAAAAAATCTAGGGTTTAGGGTTTAAATCCTAAACCCCGAGCTTCGATGAACGGCTTCGGCCGCGGAAGGTTTAGGGCTTCCGGTTTCGGGTTTTGGGGTTCAGCGCGCGGGGGCTGGAGAGACACTTAGGTTTCCTGAAGGCTCGGGGCTTACAGGGCTTCTGGGGTACTCGGAGGACCATGGGACTTAGTAAGTAGGGTTAGAATTAAGGTCACTGTACTTACATTTACTTATAACCCCAATTAAGTGACTTATAACCTTACTTACTAAGTCGCATGATCCTCCCAGTATACAAGAGTCAGGGCACTATTACTGTAACACCCCGAGATGGACCTCAGAACCTAATTCCCTAATTGAGGGACCCGCAAGAACTTCAACAGGGTCTTGCTGTGTAGATTAAAGCGCAGTAATGAGGATATTAACAACAGTAGTAACAATAATGATAATAAGTATAACAATACTACTAACCATGACACAAACTAGAACTATCATACAGCACATTAGGATTAGTATCATGGCACAAACTATAACTACTATTACGGCATCCTTAGGATTCGTGTTGGTGTTTAGTCAGGCCCCTACAGCAAGGCCTGGGGGCACGGACCGGCAGGGACATTCTTCAGTCGTTCCCAGCTCTCGGGCTACTTTTACACTTTAGGACTGTTGGGGTTTAGGGTTTAGGGGTTTAGGGTTTAGGGTTTAGGGTTTAGGGGTTAGGGTTTAGGGTTCAGGGGCTTGGTGCGTTTGGATACTGACGGACTGGCACTCCCGTTCTTCGTGTTCCGAGCAGGAGTATAATCGAGTATACACCTAAGCTTTGCTCTAACGGTTCAGAACCCTAAACCCTAAACCCTAAACCCTAAACCGAGTTCAGGCGGGCTGACGGCAAGAGCGTCGCAAGATGTTCCTTTTGCAGTGGGACAGCTGCCCCCGCTGCCCAGGAAAAACAAGCCGAGCACCGTAAACACCAAACACACCAATATAGGAGTTTCCGAAAATTAGGGTACCTTATTTTGGGGTCCTTATAATAAGGATCCTACTGTTTAGGGTATTATATTAGGGTCCCCTATTTTCGGAAATCCCCATATAGGTACCTCAGTAGTTAGATCAGGCTTTGGGGTGCAGTACAGCAGTGTTTGAAACAGATCCCTAAGGAAGCACGATGTTAACGAATCAGCGTACACCTGTTTAAGGGCCTTGGATTTCCAAGTTGGTTCCCGTAAGACAAAGACACAGCTGCATGACGCTGCCTCTTTCCAGGTGCCAGCAGGACCAAGAAAACATACTTGCCATCGTTCGCTAAATCCTCATATGCCGGCCTCCATCAGCAACTGCGCAACTTCAGCATGGCCTCGTCGACGTGCCACCATCATAGCATTCGCACCTTCATTGCTGGCTGAGTTCTTTCCGGCAACTTCCTCTAACAGCAAACGCACAACTTCCGCGTGGCCTTCGTAAGAAGCTAATTTCAAGGGGGTCCAGGAGTCGTTGCTGGATGAGTCCTTGTCGGCACGGTCTTCCAGCAGCAATCGTACAACCTCAGCATGGCCATATTGCGAAGCAATCATCACGGCAGTGTAGCCGAAGTCTTCAGCCAAGTCCTTCTTGGCACCGGCCTCCAGCAACGACTGCACAACCTCAGCGTTGCCAAAGTAAGCAGCCAGCATCAAGGCGGTCCAGGACTGGTTGTTTAATGAGTCTTTGTCGGCACCGTACTCCAGCAGCAAACGCACTACTTCTGCATGGCC